TGTTCATTTCGGTTACTTCTGAGTGGACAGAGTGCTCCTGGTGTCTCACAGCTCAGCAGCCACGGAGAAGCCCCAGGGCAGAAGGCAAGAAGGGCATGGCTTGAGCCCAAATTGAGGCCCTGTGGGGCTGTGCCCATGCGCAGCTGGTTGGACACAGCGGGAGCAGCAGGCAGCCAAATGTCCCAGGGACAGGTGAGGCTGGGAGAATCTAAGGAGGCACATCTGAGGGGTCTGAGGCACATCTGAGGCACATTCCTCCATCCAGATGCACATGCAATGCTAAGCACAGCTGTGCACCCATCCTCTAATTGTTGAATGCCTGTCTCCACTAGAAACCTTCCCTCATTTGTCCTGCAGATATATTTCCCAGGCCCTATTCCTGGGCTTCAAAGGACTCGTAAACAGAGAATCCCTGATTCTGAGTCCTTTCCCTCCTGCACCCATGTGGAAGGCTGGAGCAAACTCTCTCTCTGGGGCCCTGCTACCCCGAGAGCCTCCTTCCTCCACATGTTCTTGTTCTTCACCTGGAACCCTCTCCCAGGCTTCCTCTCTCAACCCCGAATCCTCTTTTCTGTTTCTCTGGCACTGAAGTTTCAGCTATTTAAGTGCAAATATAGATGCATTTGAAAGATGTGGAGAAACCAGGCTTTTGAAATGCCATAAATAAGATTGTACAGAAGAAAGAGATAGGTAATCAGCTGCCGCTTTTGCTCCTTGAAGAGACTCATGTAACTGTCACCAGATTCTGCTCTTGGCCTGGGCAAAGGCTGTAAGTCATTCCCGGCTAAAGCCAGCCATTTGCCACACAGGATAAAGCAGGATAAGAAGAAACAGCAAATGAGGATGCCTCGGGCTGGATGCACAGATTCAGGAGGGGGCTTCCTACCTCAGGCCTAGTTTCTCTACACCAGGGTCATGATCTCCTGTGATGCTTGTGGGAAAAGGCAGTGCATCATTTGGGATGCCCTTGGCTGCAAGGCACAAAAATCCCCATTCAAACTGGCTTCAACAATAGGAAGAGCACTACTCATATCACTTGAAACGCAGAAGTAGGACAGAGTGCAGGATTGGTTGCCTGAGCAGCTTCATGACAAGGACATGGGTTCTTTCTGTCTCTCCACTCTGCTGCCCCGATGCTGACTCACCTTGCAGGCACAAGGCAGGGCCACCCGCTTTCCTGTCCGGGGAGGAGGGGACTTCGTCTACTACTGTGGAAAGCATCTGGGTTTCATCTCCCTTCCATCTGGCTTGGCTTCCCCAGGATGGGTGCCAACTCCTGGGCTGGAATCAGTCATCAAGATGATGCCAAGAGATGATAGGATCTGACCTTTTCCTGGGAGCTGGGGATAGGATGGAACCTAGACAACCTGGTGATGTTTAGGGCAGGTGGAGGGGAGAGGGAATGGATGTTGGTGGACAACCAAGAAATGGGCAATCTTTTGGCCATTTTAAGCTCCGGTAACAGGATCCTGAGGTTATCAGGGACACACAAATTGAGATCCACTGGGGAAGGAAGAAGGCAGAGCCAGACTCTGTCAAGACTTGAGGCAATGCAGAGTGAACTTCACTCAGACCTCAGCCCAGTGGTCATTTCCCCCTTGGAAATGCAGAATCATCCAAATTGCATCAAACTGGGAATGAAGCCCAGGCCTTTTCCCAGATGATTGAATTGGGATGAGACCAAATATAAACACAAAAATGTTTCCCAGGCCACCCAAACAGTCTTAGTTCCGGTCCCAACCAAGTGACAGAAGAGAGTAACTTTAAGTTAAGTGTGCGCTGGGGCCCAGCAGTCTCTGGGATAGATTTTGCACTGATGAATGGGAGGGAGTGGCCATGGGCAGCCCCTGGGATGCTGTGGTTGGCATTTAGAATACAGTGGCAAGACCAACAGGGATTTTGCAGGGGGAGGTTGAGGCGGTGCTGTTGAGAAGCAGCTGTAGGGCAATGGAAATGACGTGAAATTCAAAGCGAAAACATCTGGAGGCTCGATGAAACATACCACCTGTCAGTTGTATGATGGCGAGCTTCCCTGAGCCTCGGTTTCCTCATTGTGAAACAGTAGGATGAAGGTAATACGGAGTTATATGAGCTATTGAAGGTGGAGGTGACTTTGTGCAGGATAGAGAGATGGGGACATTAGTCATCGCTCTGTACGTCTCCTCCAAGGGCCCTGAGCATCTGGTGTCAGGAGCACACACTTTTACTCCCCTGACCCTGGTCTTCGCCCCCACCTTCCAAATCCCCCTCTCTTTCAAGCTTTTGGTCGTGCCCTGCCTCCTCCCTGAAGGCTAGCTCAGCCTCCCAGGTGCCTCTGATTATGCCCTGCATGTACCGTGCGCTGGCCACCAGGTGTTATTTACACAGACTACCTCCCATCCGCTTCTGTATTGCGGTCCTGGGCGGCCAGATTTACCTGTTTGTGATCATCCCCAACTTACCTATACCTGAAAATGAAGCAATGGTGTCTCTCACCTCTTGGCAGCCTAAAAAAGCAACTCAGAATGTGGAATGGGATGGCCCGCAAATCACCTGTCACTTAAGGTGATGACCCAGAGAGGTGAAATGACCTGCCCAAGGCGACCCAGCTCCAGCGACAGGGTTAGTACTGGAAGCCAGCCTCCTTGATGCCAGTGACACTCTCAGTGGGGGTGGAGGTGCAAAGGGGACCTGATTTTGCAAATCATACATGTCACCTCCAGGGTGACTGGTTGCTGTGTGTAATAAGATAATGATACATATTTCTGATGGGGACTGTTGTGCTGGGGAAAGATTTGAAGGCAGGAAAAATGTCGAGAGCCATGGGTGCAGTGGGCTTTGGGCCAGGCTGATCTAGGCTTGCTCTGCTGCTGCTCTCACCAGCTGCATGATTCCAGGCAACTTCACTCCATCAAAGTCAGAAACGTTTTTAGAGCCCATGTGCGCTAGGCACATTCAGTGGTGATCAGGATAGAGTCAGGTCCTCGCTTAGGTTACATTATAATCTACTGTACAGTGTTTCTGAGAGAACTACGGGTTTCTTAAATCTCTTCTGAGCCTCAGTTTCCTTATCTGTACAAGAGGGATAATCTCCACCTCTTATGAAGTTCAGAAGAAAACGCACGGAAATGCAGGGGCAGCAGGGGGAGGGGCCCTGGCAGGAAGTGGACTTCACAGAGGTCCCCTAGAGGCCAGCCCCAGCTTCCTCCCTCTTTGCGCCCTGCTGCAGCTTATGCATATCCCCTCTGTGTCCAATGGATGAAACTAACTGAAGAATGCCCCTGTCACCTAGGTCCAGCCTTCCTCGGGAATGGTTGGGGACAGTCTCAACCAGGGCAGAATGTCTCGGATTCATCTCGGGAAATCTAAATAAGGAGGGTACAAAAATTAGAAACACAACTTTTTGAAATAGTGTAAACTGTTAACTGCCTCTCCCTCCAGACCACGTCCACTTCCACCCCTACACCGTGCAGGGTCACTCTTGCCACCCAGTAGGGCGGCAGGAGGCTTCTTGGGAGACTGTCATCGATCTCAGTCTCCAGATCTGCCTGTCTTAACCTGAGGGACATATTGTGGGCTGCCCACCCAGGGTGCCAGCGATTTAAGCTCTACACCTGGTCTTCAACCCTGAGGAGCTGGAAGGCTCCTATTGCTACCTGTCACATAACTTTGAGTCTCTCAAAGAGGAGGCAAAGACAGAAGATCCCACTTCTCTGTGTGAGGAGCCCCGTGTACTTAAGGCTTGACAAGCAGGTGGGTCATTGCAAAAAGAAAGATTTCCTCTTTTTTTCAAGTAAAAATGCCCTAGCCTAGGGCACACAACTGGGCAGATGGCGCATAGGCTGGATTTTGGCTTCTACTCTGTCCCCAGCCAGAGATTTTTGTGCAGTGCACAAATCATACAACATGGCAGCCCTAGTCACAGGTATTTACTATGTGCTCCCTGTGAGCTGACCCCAAGCTAGGTACAAGGGACACAGCAACTTGATGCCAGTGACACTCTCAGTGGGGACGGAGGTGCAAAGGGAACTTGATTTTGCAAGTCATACATGTCTCTGCCAGGGTAACTGGTTGCTGTGTGTAACAAGATGACGATTAGTGTTTCTGATGAGGACTGCTGTGCTGGGGAAAGGTTTGAAGTCAGGACAAATGTCCAGAGCCATGGAGGCAGTGGGCTTTGGACCAGGCTAATCTAGGCAGGAGCAAGACAAGACATAATCCCTGTGCTCATAGATCTCGTATGCTCGTGGGAGAGACTTACTACAAACAGCGAAGCCTATGACCAGAACAGCCTAGGGTGAGAGCAATGCTGTGAAGCAAAGAGTGGGACATGGTGATAGGGAGGGACAGGCTTGAGGGAGGGATTTAATTTAGATTGGAAGGTTACAGATGGACTCCCTGGTCTGACTTCAGGCGTGAGATGGAGCCAGTCATGCAAAAGGCTGGTAGAGGTCAGGGTGGGCAGTTTGGGAGGAAAAGTTAGGGGCTGGAAGCTGGACCAAGGAAAGAGTCCAAGCTGTTTGAGAAGCAGGGAGCTCAGTGACTGGAGGTGAGCAAAGGGAGGATTGGGGACAATGTCAGAGATGAGTAGGATCAAGCTAGGCAAGCTACAAGGAACCTGGATTGTGTTTCAAATGTGGCAGGAGCCGCTGGCACTTCTGATCCATTAGGTGGAGGAGAGAAGGGAGGAGGGAGAAGGAAGAGGCAAGGGGAGCAGACGACAGCAGCAGAGTGGGGACACCTGCAGCAGGTCCAGGCAATACACACCGGCACAGCCATAGGATGGATGGGCCGATGGGTGGCGGAGGGACGGATGCACAGGGCCCAAATCTCAGTGGGCTGTGGATTTGGGTGGGTTTGGAGATGATGTTAGACCTTCCTAGGTTGTGCTTTTTGGAGCAGAATGAAACCACACCTCTTCTCCTACCTCCTACAAAAGGTCAGTTCGCCGCTTCTCCCTTCCATGGGGAAACAGATGGGAGGGCTCCTTGTGGACTAATCAGAGTAATTTGTGTTTGTAGTTCAACATTAAAAAATCCACGGAACCCGTTCAGCCCTGTGCCCTCCTCAAGTTCCCAGACATCTATGGACCCAGGCCAGCTGTGACGGCTCCAGAGGTCATCAACTATGCCGACTACTCGCTGAAGTCCACGGAGGAGCCAGCTGCACCTGCCAGCCCCCAACCTCTGAATGACAGCCGCCTCAAGAGGCAGGTCACAGAGGAGCTGTTCATCCTCCCTCAGAATGGTAGGGGTCTCCTGCCCACCACACTTCCATGGGCAGCACTCCAGTGGGGTTTGTCAACGTCTCTGCAGATGCTGTGTGTGGCCTAATGAGGAGGCCGAGTGCCCCCCACATTTGATGCCGGCCAAGCGGGTGGGCATTGGGCCTTGGAATTATGGTTCTTTCTTTCTGATAACATGGTGCCATAGTACTTCTCCCCCAGGTCACCAACTTTCTTCTGGGAAATGGAGTCCCTTTCTAGTCATGTGTTTGTAACTGAGACAGGATAAAGAGCTATGGTTAAAACCATGGGCTTCAGAGTCATGGCTTTAATTCACTGCCCTTTCATATGCTTGCTCTGTGGCATGGGTCTTGCTGTAACTCTGTGAACCTCAGTTTCCTCATCTACAAAACGGGACTAGACTGTTATCTGTCTGGTAGGGGAGTTGTAAAGTGTAGATAAAACAGTGCACATAAAAAGCTTAATTCAGAGCCTGGCACAAAGGATGTAACAAAAAACATATTGTTTCTGTTGTTTTTTTTGAAATAAGGTCCCAAGCACTTTTTTTTTTAGGTGGGGTCTTGCTCTGTCTCCCAGGCTGAAGTGCAGTGGCATGATCATGGGCCACTGCAGCCTCAATCTCCCAGGCTCCAGTGATCCTCACCTCATCCTCTTGAGTAGCTAGGACTACAGGTGGATGTCACCATGCCTAGATAATTTTTGCTTATTTTTTGTAGAGGTAGACATGAGATCTCACTACGTGGCCCAGGCTGGTCCCGAACTCCTGGGCTCAAGTGGTCTTCTGGCCTTGGCCTCTCAGAGTGCTGGGATTACAGGCATGAGCCATCGCATCCAGCCAAAACATATTGTTATTATTTCTACTCTCCTTTTTATCAGCATCAACATTGAGTGAAGCACCTTTAGGTGTACCGTGCTGCCGCCGGGAAGATATGGGAAGCAGAGACACAGTCTCTGACTTAAAGGAATATGTAGGCCTTTTAGAAAGACAAAACATAAAGCAGGGAGAGTGGATTGTTGTGTAGTCTCTGTTTTGTTTTGTGTGGTTCGTGAGGGAGCCAGTGGACACAGATGCAGCCTAATGGGCTGTGACATTGACCCCATGTATTGACCCTATGTGTTGTCTTCCTGTGGCCCCTGTGATTCTGCACACAGCTGGGAAGATTTGGGTTTAGGTTCCCGGCACAGATGATAGAGATGGGAAAGCCGTGATTGGGAAAGCAGAGCCCCAATGTGGGTGGCAGTGACAATTTTGCCTTTCTTAACAGGTGTGGTGGAGGATGTCTGTGTCATGGAGACCTGGAACCCAGAGAAAGCTGCCAGTTGGAACCAGGCCCCCAAACTCCACTACTGCCTGGATTATGACCGGCAAAAGGCTGAATTGTTTGTGACTTGCCTGGAAGGTACTGCTCTTATTTGACTCTCATGGGTTTCTATGTGTCCATCTCCCCTGGAGGAGCTGTGCAGGCAGGATGGGTTCATCTGTAGCTGGAAGGAGCACTGGACTAGAACTCTAACAACCAGACTCTGGAACACATGGAGCTCAGACACAAAGATTTCCCACACCCCCAGCCCCAGTAGTCCAAAGTGGGGATTCCTAGTTGACAAACATTTTTTTCTCCAAATAGTGATTTCAAAGACCAGGATCCTTTCAGCTGTGGCTCCATAACCCTCTCCTTGTCCTCTGTATCTTTGTCATATGTATCTGGCAGGTAGAAGGAGAAAGGGAAGGAGAGGGCACAATCACTCCTTAATAGCCTTTACCTGGACTTGGTGGATGTCACTTCTGCTTGCATCTCATTGGCTGTAACCCAGTCACATGAGCACAGCCAACTGCAAAGGAGGCTGGGAAATGTGGGCTAGCAGGTGCCCAGGAAGGAAAGGAAATGAGTTTGGGGTGAGCAGCTAGCTGTCTCTGCCATGGATGAATTTGAAATTGGACAGGGCCTTGTGCTGGACATGGAGGGTGTTCTGAATAGTCAGAAAAGTTTCTACAATCTAAGAGCCAAGCAGCCTGAGGGTGGTAGGATGTCCTTGGTTTCTCTACCCTGACAATTCACTTTAAGGTCAGCAAATAAAGCTAAGGCTTTGCAAAGGAATTAGGACTAGCAATGGGGCCAGATAAATTGGAATTTTGTATATAATTATGTTTTCTGAGTCTTTTTTCTTTTATTATCTTTTAAGATTTTAAAGCACCTTCCTCCTATACTTCATTGTATTTAGTCTTCACACTAGTCCCATTTTACAGATTAGGAAACTGAGGTCTGGCAAGTCATATGACTTGTCAAAGATCACAGTATGTAACTGGTAACAGAGCCAGGACTAAGAAGTCCCTTGAAGTTCAGTGGAAACCTCTTGCTCTTAAGACATATGGCCTCAGTTCTTCTTCTCTTCTTGTGAAATGTCAGCTACCACTTTCCAAATGATCATTGAAGAGCCAGTTGGGAAAGCACCACGGGTGTAAATTTCTGGGCAAATCCACATTATGAAGCGTTGAAAACACCAAGGTTCAGAACATAAAGCCACACTCATGAGGTAACAGCCAAGTGATTTACACGTGAAATGGTTATGTAGTGACTATTTAAAGTTCAGAATGAATGGTTACATGTCAGCAACATCACTCATAAAGGCCCCCAGCAGCAAGCCCGGGTACCTTGGCAAAATTTCAGAATCCAGAGCTCCGGGGGCTCCAGGAAGTGCCAGGTCTTGTCCCTGTTCTCCAGGAAAGAGAATCAGCTTGTGCCGAGGCCAGCCCCCCAGATGATCTATTTCTGTGTGTCTCACCGAAAGGCGATTCCTGGGTGCCCAGGGTGGTCAGCCTTTTAGAAACTCAAGGTCATGAACTTGAGCTGGATTCCACAGCCCTAAGCAAGGCCTGCTTCTGTCCCCTCCGCTTGTCCTGGGGAAGTCCCACCTGTGTTGTTCTCCTTCCCTGCAGCTGTGACCAGCAACCATGATGGAGGCTGTGACTGCTACATCCAAGGGAGTGTGGCCAACAGGACCGGCTCTGTGGAGGCCCAGACGGCCCTAAAGAAGAGGCAGCTGCGCACCACCTGGGAGGAGGGCCTGGTCCTCCCTCTGGCGGAGGAGGAGCTCCCCACAGCCACCCTGACACTGACCTTGAGGACCTGCGACCGCTTCTCCCGCCACAGCGTGGCCGGGGAGCTCCGCCTGGGCCTGGACGGGACGTCTGTGCCTCTGGGGGCTGCCCAGTGGGGTGAGCTGAAAACTTCGGCAAAGGTAGGGTTACCCCTAGGTTAGAAAGTCAACCCTGCCTGTGCAGCATGGGATGGCAGAACCGGGTGTCCTCCCAGCTACTCTAGGCCAGGTCTTAGAAAACAAGCCTCAGAGACCTCCCTGGCTCGGAGCTGGAAGAGAGGTTGGAGTCTTGAAGGGGACAGAGGGTTAGAGGAGACCCATGGCCCAGGATCTGGGATCCCTGGTGTCTGCTCCTCATCTTGGCTCTAGCTTGCCATGCAAAGACTCTCTGCCATCATGGTAAATGCCACGCTGTGTGTATTATCTTTACTGCTATGAAGTATTGCCCCCATTTCAATCTAGTTATACTCCGCGTGTTCCTACTATTTGCCAGACACTGCAGGGCACTCTACCCTCCCTCCCTTTGTGCGGATGAGCATGAAGGGGCAAGGGTGGAGCCCCACCACTCAGGAGTGTACAGACCAGAGGCCAAATTGGCCCACCCAGATGATGATGATGTGTTCCACATTGAGCCATGTAAGAGTGATCTAACCAGTGTGCTCTGATAAAGAGTTCTAGAAGGCCCCGTGTGCTGGGCTCTGAAGGAGCAACCAGGGCTGGGGACAGGCCCAGAGTCCAGTGGTCCACAAAGTCCCCAGCCTCAGGATGATTTCCTCACATCTGCTGTTGGGGAGCCACGAGTGGGAAAGAAGTGTCTTCTGAGATGCCACAGCCCTCAAGAAAGGGGACTCTTGGAGAGCAAATCATTGTTCCCCATGGGCTGGGACAGGAGGAGGGTCCAGGAGGGTCAGGGCTACAAGACAGTATGTAGTTACTTAGGCCCCTGGGTCAAAGTCCCAACCAAGGGCCTGCCCTGTGGTGCCTTGAGGGAACCTTCCGAGTGACTGGTCTCCCAACCAGATGGGCAGTGCCAAGCTAATCTAGAGACTGTATAACCTGCATAGCCCCAAATAGGTATTATCAGGCCCTTTCCAGAAAAAGCTTGCCAATCCTCATGCTAGAACAAAAAGAAATATACTGATCAGGGCACCATTTTTTAATGTGCACCATGTATCAGTCGCTATGCTTAGGACCCTACCTGAGGTCTGTCACTCCCCAAATCAACCAAATGAGAGAGACACCATGACGATCCCCCTTACAGATGAGGAAACTGAGGGTCATAGTAGTTCAGGAGTCCACACAGGGTCCCCCAGCCAGGAAACAGCAGACCTCGAGGCTGGGTTGGTCTGACTAAATCCTGCTCTATGTCATTACCTGCCATGCAGGCCACCTGACAAGTAAGAGGTGTGACCAGCAGTCACCTTTCCTAATAGACACAAAAATGGCAAGAGGGAAGAGTACATTTCACTCCCTGCCTGCTCCTCTTTTTGCTGTGATTTCCTCTGTGCTCCATTTCCCCCTCTTTCCCAGGCTCAGAAAATTGATAGAAAAATCACAGCCATTCTCAGATGGAACTCAGCTGTTCCAAAGCCCACTCTCTAATTAGTGTGTGATTTGGGACTTCTGTGGAATCACAGATGGGGATCCTGGGAGAAGGAATCGATACTTAGGGTTATTAAACTAGTAAACTAGCTTTCTCTCGAGATGCAGAGACTCCCCTGCTGGGCTCTGAGACTTGGTACAGCCCCCAAAGGCTGGAAATCCAGCCAATCTAGGCAGAAGTCTCAGGCACCTAGCATGCTTCTCTCACCACTCCCAGAGGAGCAGCCATCACTCACTCATTCATTCATTCTGCAAATACCTTGCCCAGTTTCTACCATGTGCCAGGCACTGTGCCAAGAGCTGGGGACACAGCAACCATAATTAAGATGAAGCCTGACCTTGTAGCTCATCCATCCTAATAATTGTCACAGTTTCTGTAGTTCTTTCTGTTCTGCAAATGTGTACCCACCACTACTTTGACCACTGGCCTGTTTATGACAAATGTGAACAATCTCAGAGGATGGCATGGAGTCAGAAGTAGGCATGACATTCTGGGTATATAGGGCAGGAGAAAGCCAGAAGTCCAGGTCAGGAAGCCCCTCACCCCAGCTTGAGAGTGTGGGCTGATTTGAACAAGGTGAGCGAAGCCCTCAGTCATTGTAGCCCAGATGTTTTTCTTCTCTAGGCCAGCATGGGTTGACAGAGGTGCCCACGGTGCCCAGTTTTAACTGGAAGATACTCAGTCAAAAGTGCCAAGCACATCAAGAGGGACCCATAGGGCAACCCACTCCAAGGGCAGCCTTACATGGTTCACTGAGACCCCAGGAGAAAGAGAGGGGCAGGGAAAACCAGGGGAAGGAAAAAGAAAGAAAGGATTTCTTTAGTCCGCAGGTACTTTCAGCAGCAGTGCCCAGGGAGCAGGTGCTGTTGAAATTCTCTGGCTATGGTACAGCTGGCTAGGCTAGACAGACCTCACTCTATGCAAAAGCAAAGAGCCCTGCAGAGGCCAATAGGTACTGACTCCTCTCACCTGGTCTGCAGGGAGAGAGGACTCATGTCTGATCACCTTGTGGCTGTAGCCCAGGCTATCTGTGGCCCTCTAATAACTGACCGTGAACCAGGAGGCTGGTGCCCATCCCAACTCTGCAGACACCTCTCTGGGTGCCTGGTACAAGTCCCTGGGCCTCAGTTCCTTCACTGCAAAATGAGAGGGTTGGGGAGGGCTGTCCACTGAGAAAGCTGGAGAGCCACAGATTCAGGACTTAGGTTTTGCTATCAGACTAGACCTCCTGTCCAAGGATTTTGGTACTTCCTGCCTACATAACCTCTGGCAGTGATGTTCCCTTTCCGAATCTCAGGTTCTTAGGCTTAAAATGGGAACAAAATCAGTAGCCCTCTTGGGTTGTTGTCAAGATTATAAATGAGATGTGTTACTCTTTTTTCACAAATATTTATTGTGTGCCCACTGTGTGCCAGATGCTGGGACTGCATAGTGTGAATGGAGGCCACTGTGGAGCTTACGGTCTAGTGGAATGGGCAATGAATTGCATCTAGCACATAGTGTTTAATAAACATTAGCTGCTATCATTCATTTCCTTGCCAAGATCCTCCGTGGCTCTCACATCATTTCCTCATATGGCTAGTCCCTCAAGGCTTGTGGAATCATTGGGGTCATACAGAAATAGAGGTTTAGAAAAGCGAAGTAACTTACCCAAGGTCACACAGGTAGTAAATGGTAGGATTGGAACTCAGACCCAGTTAACCTGGTCTAGAGTCTATGCTCTCAGCATTACTCTTATTCTGGATTATTAATAACGGTTGTTTTGACAATTGTCATTAGAATTGTAATTTATGACCTTTCCAGAGAACTTATTATATGCATTTTTTCACTTCATCCTTTGATATCCATACACTGCTAATGCTGCCCAATGTTGTATATTTAATCACTTCCTGTCTGTCCTCCCCAAGTGACTGCGAGCTCCCTGGAGGCTGACTGTGTTTCGTTCATGGCTTTAATTATGGCATCTGGAATACAGTAGGTGCATTATGTATGCTTGCTGAATGAATGGATCCACAAGAGGCCACAGTGAGCAGAGAAAAACTGATTCCGACCCTTCTGAGTGCCTGGTCCAGGATGGATGAACAGGCATCATCACGTGTGCTGGGTGTGACAGGAGGGGAGGAAGCTTAGGGAGGTATGGTGGCTGTTAGCCAGGACCCCAGCCTGGTGCCAGACTTCACTGAATTACCCTTATTGCACAGCTGGGAAAGCGGGACAAAGCTGGAGGGAAGGGGCACAGGACTGAAAGCTGGGACATCTGGAGGGACAAGCTTCCCGCGCTCTCCACCCACTCTCCCTCCCCACACTTCATCTTGGCACAGCAGGCCACACGCGTGCCTCTTCCTTGAGATTTCAAGGGAAGGGCATAGACTTTCTGCTCAACAGTGGAGACTTCTGACCTTAGCTGATCCCTGCCCACACATTCCCTTCTCTTTCCTGCCAGGCCTCCCCAGAGCTTGGATTGCAACCAAACACCCACTCCTGGGAGGGGTCTTTTGGTTGTTCTTGCCCCTTGATGGACTTGCTGAAATTCCAAACAAACTCCTGTCAGAATTTCAGGAGAGTTACTCTGAAGCTGCATACAGGGATAAATGTGTTTGTTTGGATGCTTCATCGGGGCATCAGTACCTCCTTTGAGGTGTGGTTATTGCCAGTTGCCTCTGGGCATGATCTACCATCATCTGCCCCAGACCTTCATTGATGTAATTGGTCACTCTGTTGATGAAGCAACCCCCTGGAGCTGGAAATAATTACCTTTTCAAACAAAGTAGTGAATTACAACTCTCCTACTGCACCAGGAACCTGATGGGTCAATGCAGGAATTCTGAAACTGTTCTCTGAAGCCCTAGAGGACAGAGGTGTCCCAGGAGCTTGGGGGTGGTGGAACGTGAAGAATAATGGGGCATTCTGGCCTCCTACCCCTGCTGCTTCTGAGTAGCATCTCTTTGCTCTGTTTTGTATGTTGGGTTTGAGTATATGGTATGTGAAAAATCACATTTTTGTGGCAAACAAAGAAACTACCATTGAAGCCCATGCTATGTGGAATTCCTCTGTGCCTCGCTCTCTTCTGCAAGGGTGGAGACCCCAGCATTGATGGGTAAATGATCTTGAGGATGCCCGTTGGATGCAAGTCCAGCCTGACCCCAGCTTCAGCATTTGTTGATGGGTCAGAAGCCGTCCCCAGGTGAGACTCCCCTCCTGTGTCTCCTCTTCTGTTTCAGGAGCCATCTGCAGGAGCTGGGGAGGTCCTACTATCCATCAGCTACCTCCCGGCTGCCAACCGCCTCCTGGTGGTGCTGATTAAAGCCAAGAACCTCCACTCTAACCAGTCCAAGGAGCTGCTGGGGAAGGGTGAGTGAGATGTGAGAGGACTGCTAAGGCCCCTCCAGCTACCGGGAGTGTGTGCAGAGGGAGGTGGTGCCTAGGAGGACATGGTAACAGGTAAGCAGGGAGGTGGAATATGAGCACATCTGTGGAGTTGTGCTCAGTCGTGTTCTTCACCCTAAGTTCAGAAACAGATTTTCAAGGACACACTCACTTCATTGAGTTCACATCCATTTACTCTTGGGGCAATCCCATATGTTAGGACCCAAGTGTGAGCTGCCTGGGGCTTCCTACCTTGGAGGTCCACTATGAGAATCATCAGGCCTATCCATAGAGCACAAGAAGCCAAGGATCAGACTGTAGCTGTGGAGTGAAGGGCCTAGGTTGTCGGGAAAACTTGGTCCAGCCCTTGTCACCCACACCTGGCTGGACCCACCTCTCAGGCAGGTGTCAGAAAGCCCAGGTTCTCCCCCTCCTGTCTGAACTCATCACTGCTACACTCCCTCCACCCACCCCAGTCTCTTTTCTCAGCCTTTACCAACCGCCACCCCCATACCAGCTGAGTGTGGTTGATGGCAGAAGGTGTGTGGGTACGTGGGATGAGGCCTGAGGCTTCAGGCATCTGTGCCCCAAATACCCAAATAAGCTTTTCTTCAACAACCTAGAAGCCTCAGTTTTTCCTTCTGGATACCCCAGCCCAGGTCCAGTATCTCGGAGACCACAGCAAGTTCTCCTATATAAGCAGGAAAGCATCCTTGGCTAGCCAGATAATACCTGCACTGGAAGCCACGTGCTCCTAGCAAGATATAAATAAATCTCTATTTATAGCAGGGTACAAATAAAGAATTGCCACTGCATTCAGAAATTCGAGCAAAAGACTTGGGGCTAATGAAATCAGAAGAGTTGGTCTTGCTGGCAGGCTCCTGAGTCAAAGGTCAGAGTTCAATGCTTTTATCTCATCCCCTTTAGAGAATTCTTTGCTTCTTGCTCTCTTTTTATAGCTCCTGTCAGGGCAATTACAGTAGGACACTTTGTTGCTCAACCATCTCTGCAGAAATAACAAACTAACCTCCCAGGGGTGATAATTACAGCCATAAATACAAAGTAGCAATTATTCTCACATTAACTTCAGAAACCTTGACTAAGTAATCCAGTCCAGGCTTGTGATGTGGCATGAAAGCTCGCCTGGGGACCTGTTTGTGGATTTCCTTAGGGGCAGCTTTCTTAGTGCTGTGCCCTGACTTTGGGGGAACGTGCAGGAATAGGCAGTCTGCCTTCATTCCTCTGCCACATGAAGTTGGGGTCTTCAATTAAACTTTAAAAAGTGCAGATGAGAAGAACTCAACCGATCAGCAGGGGATCTCCTATTTTAATAATAGACAAAAATGTTTAGACCAAGAATGAAGGGGATAAGACTTGAGAGCTGGCTTCGTTTTTTTTTTTTTTTTTTTTTTTTTGTCTGAGTTTAAAATTCAGCTGCAGGACCCCTGAGCTATTGTCCTGGACAATAGCTGAAGCATGCATTTTGGGCTCAGGTTGGCCATATTCATTTGATGTGGGGATATGAAGTCATGTAGCGAAGGATGGTTCCCTGGTGGTACTCTAACATGCCCCAATCACAGGCCACCCAGTGGCCAGTCGTATATCTTGGTATTGGCTGTTTCCTACACTTTAGTGTAAGTTCTACACAGGCAAGAACTTTCGCTGTATCCCCACGTCTAGACCAGCGCCTGCCATAGGATAGGCACTTAATATTTGTTGAATGAATGCATGGCCTAGTGGGGGAGTGGAGAATGATCCCCAACGCAAGGAAGTGAAAGTAGCCTGGATCAGCTCCTAGAGTTACAGATTGTCAGGCAGAATGCTTTCCTGCTCATACAGCAGAGCCTTCTTTGGTCACATAGACTTGGGGCCTGTGCTGGGGTATCCAGAAGGAAAAACGGAGGCTTCTAGGATGTTTGGGTATATGGGGCACAGATGCCCAAACTCTTGAACTAGAGACATCATCTTTCCAGCACCAGGAGGGAGCATTGTCCTGGGCCCCGCCAGATCCCAGAAACTCACTACTGGTCCTTCTCTCTGTCTCTTTTCTCCCCTGCCCCTCCCCAGATGTCTCTGTCAAGGTGACCTTGAAGCACCAGGCTCGGAAGCTGAAGAAGAAGCAGACAAAACGAGCCAAGCACAAGATCAACCCTGTGTGGAATGAGATGATTATGTTTGAGCTGCCCGACGACCTGCTGCAGGCCTCCAGTGTGGAGCTGGAAGTGCTGGGTCAGGACGAGGCAGGGCAGAGCTGTGCGCTTGGCCACTGCAGCCTGGGCTTGCACACCTCGGGCTCTGAGCGCAGCCACTGGGAGGAGATGCTCAAAAACCCGCGCCGGCAGATTGCCATGTGGCACCAGCTGCATCTGTAACAGCTGCCTGGCCGCCTCCCTTCTTGGACAGCCCTGGCCTGTCCTCTGCAACCTCCTCTCTGTGCCCTTTCCTAATTCTGACACCCAGAAGACAGTAACAGATGTGTTTGCAAGGCCAGGATGCCTCTCTCATCATACTCCTGTTTCTAAGAAATAGCAAGATAGGGCAGGACAGTGTGTGGAAATGGAGTATGTGGGTCACACTGAGGAATGCATTTTGCTCATCTGTGTTATTGAAAGAGATGCTTATCAAATACAGTTCCTATGCCTGTTTTATAGGTGGGGTTAGGCCAGATGCAGAGGAAGCTAAATGTGGGGATCATGGATTCAAAGAAGAATTTGGCTTTTTGAAAAACAAGCATTTCAAAAATGATGAAGGAAGTGAAAATATCCTGGATCAATTCCTAGAGTTGGAGGTTGCCTGGGTGGAGTGAAACCTTAGCCAGTGTTCAATCAACTCACCACGCAGGGCAGCCCCTCAGCAGTTCCCCAGCTTTAGCATGTGAAGAGTCACCAGCAGATTCCTGGGCTCACCTGGAGACATTCCTAGTTGGTATTCCTGGTCGAAGCCCAGGAGCCTTTGTTTTTAACAAGCTGATGTAGAGGTTGGAGCACTGCATTTGTAGAAATTCCTTCTACAACATTCCAGACAGTTTTTCGGCCGCAGTCCTTGATGGAGTCCCAAAACCATGGTGCAGCCAGTTCTAATGCTGAACACCTCAACCATCGGTGTGAAATCTGGGGCCTCTGCTTTTTAAAATTTAATTATTTTAATTCCTAATACCTTAATTTGTGCATTTCTTTAGGCCCCTGCTCTTGGACTGAATTTTGCGCATCAAGAATGTTATTGTTTTTATCTTAAAGTCAGTTTCTAGTATCCTTGGGGAGACCATTCCTAACAAAATACATGTGGGATCTCCTGTGAGTGATTGGCTGGGTTCTGATTGCTAGATGTCACGCCCACCAGCATCACCAAAGTGACTCTGAGATAGACCTGTCCCTTTTCAGTATTCCAGTCACTTCAGGAGGAATTTAGTTATTGACTTAGTCTATGATATGAAAGACAATTTTTAAAAGGAAGTCAGGTCTTTTGCAAATGTGCCTCCCTCTGTCCATTTTCACTTGAATGGGTAAATAACCAGCAGCTAGGGTTTGAATTCCTACCTTGTTACTCTAAACAGATGTCCACACTGTTAATTAAATCTAAATCATTAGCCTTGCTGAGTGGATACAATACTTACCCCTGAACCAGGATTCCTGGGTTCTGTTGTTGACCTTGTCCTTCAGAATCTGATGGCTGCCTGTGTAAGACGGGACTAATGACTAGGAAGCTTACCCCAATGAGTGATATAATAGATGAAGTAGTGTTCGAAACCTGTAGGCACTTCCTGGCTAAAAACAAACTCTGAGAAAACAGCAGTTCATTTTTAAGCTAAGTTACTATTTTTCACTTTAATTTGACAGCTGGGAATGTCCAGAAAGTGCCGGAAGCATCCCAGGCATTTCCAGAACCATGGATTCTACCTTTGAACTCCTCTCTACTAATATTAAAACTCTGGGCCTTCAGCTGTCACTCAAATCCCCTGCCCTAAGACAGCATTCCTAGACAGCATGGGTAAGGGCTTCATTCCTTCAACAAGCCAAGTCATACTCCTCCTGAGGAGGTTGCCCCTGATGGGCGCCATCTCTTCCTGAGAATCTGAGCAGGGGCCTTATAACCTGTGGTCATTATTTCTCCTTTCTATACAGAAAGAGGAAAGCATTAGAAATAACTTCTACCCATCCTCTGAAAAAAAAAAAAACAGAAAAAATATCGAATCCCTCTTTAATGGGAAAGTCTTTTGGATAGTTGGAAACCTTCATCACTGAGGTTGACCAGCCCCTGTCCAGTGTTGTTTAGGCAAAGTACCTGTTAGTGCTTTCCCATAACATGTTTCTGAGATCTCTTCACCATATTGGTTTCTTCTCTTTGGTTGGTATGGCTAAAAGAAAACAAAATATTCCCCATAACCTGAAAGCTGACCAGCATTCTCTTCTTGGTAACATCTGCTACTCCGATCTAGAAAATTTGGATTCTAGACTAAAAATCAGAAAACATGGCTCCTTATAAATGCACCTGCCCTATAGTACTACCAGAGGAATTTGAGGTGGGCTGGGCAGGGCTCCTGATCCCAAGGTATCAACTCCACCCATAGTCATTTGATCATGAAGCTTGCTTGCTTTAATTCATTCATTCATTTCTTCTTCTTCTCATTTCTTCTTCTTCTTCTTCTTTCTTTTTTTTTCTCTTTCTTCTTCTTCTCCTCCTTCTCCTTCTTCTTCTTTTTCTTCTTCTCTTCTTCCTCTCTTTCTTCTTTTATCTCAAAGTTTCAGTCTTCCAGAATCCAAATTAAAAGTGGCCCCTGATGGGAGCCAGTTTCCACCACAGAATATCTTGAATGTCAGCTTTGACCTCACTTAGCAGGGATTACAGAAATGAGATACATTTTGAAGGAGAGTTGTCTGTTATGTTCACTGGTGTATTCTAAGTGTCTGGGATAAAGCTGTCTCATGGATGCTCCACATTAATGAATGAAGAGTGGCTGGTGGAGTAGGCAGAAAAAGACACTGCAAATGGCATAAAAATTAAAGTCCTAGCTGAGTTCTCAATGGTAAAGGCATCAGATGTCTTAGCAGTCAGGCTAGAAATTCATGATAGTGAGTATTACTGTTTGCCTAATGACAATTCATAGCTCTCCATGCAAATGTAATTAACAGATGAAGAGAATATAATTGCTCTGTTTTTCCACTAAAACTCCATCTTAGTGAATTTTAAATTACCCAGAGATGTCAGACTGCCAAATCAAAATATTTCAGTAGTCTTTGCATCAGCTTACCTTGTACCAGCAACATTTCCAATTTACTATCAAATTAGAGTAATTCAGCCTGTGTGAAAGCATCTCATCATTTTTGAAAGGAACGCCTTGTGCTATGATAGGGAGCATTTCTAAAAAGGGTGTGAGGCAGAGGTAAAAATGAGGTGAGAGACCATTTCAGAATGGGCTGTTGCCCAAAAGGAGATCTGGGTTTTTCATTAGAGATTTCTATGGGGATAGAAAATTAGGAGTCCACCCTCATTAATCTGTGACTCCACCTTTTGCATCAAATCAGTCTCTATTTGTTGAGCATTTACTGATCAAGACCTTGCTTACATCTGTCTACTTGGATTTGAGATATAACTTTTTGTGTGGGTTGAATGGCAAGTCACCCCCAACAAAGCTGGGCACAGAGAGTCAGCTAGGAGGCCAGTTCTTCAGGGTCAATTTCTCTTGGATGTAAAGGAGTCCTGGGTGAAAGGTGGCTGTAGCCTAAACCAACTAGTCCTTGTGATTTGTTTCTGCCCTCTGTGTTTCCTGTTGTCAAATGCTAAGTGTGTGTTTTGCAGTCATGAACTGAAGCACAAAAAGACGCATGAGACATTGTAGTCATATGTCTGGTGTCACACTTTGGAGCAAAAACCTTGCAGTGGTAAATAAAAAATTTCCAACAGGGTCAGCTGCCTGGTGTTTTCTTCCCCCTCCCCCCACTTTTACCTAATATTTTGGAATATAGAATGCAGAAGAAACCATCTGATAAGCACATATGAACCACTTCCATGTTTAATAGAACTTGACAACTACAATTGAAGTACCCTCAATTGAAGCCCTTTACTCAGAGGACCATGACCTTAGATTTGGGGTTTATCATCCCAAGCATTCCTTCATACTTTTACTACATGTCTGTGTAAACCTTGAGTGTTTTTAAACTTCATTTAAATTGTTTCACACTGCTTTTGCTCAACATTAAAAATTTCATCTTCATCTGTCCAGACACATGCAGCTTTAGTTTATCTCTTTTTTACTGATGTATGCTATTTCATTGTGTGGATATGCCACAGTCCCATGTGGTTAATGTATATTTACATGTTTCCTCCTTCCTTCCTTCCTTCCTTCCTTCCTTCCTTCCTTCCTTCCTTCCTTCCTTCCTTCCTTCCTTCCTTTGACTGTTACAAGAAATACTGCTATGACATTCCTCTGCATGTCTCCCTGTGCACTTGTGCAAGTTTCTCTAAGATATATACCTAGGAGTGAGTGGAATTCACTCATAGAGTGAGTCATGGAGCACTCTGCTTGTGAATGTGCATTTGTGTGTACCTTGGTGGCCTTGCTTGAGTACTGAATCAAAGAGGCCATATATAATTAAGAATGCCAAAGTTGGGTGAGGTTTTTCAAGGATTTGGCTTCATTCTTGGGGAGAAAAATTAGGTGGAAACTAGTAACTTTTCTTTCTTTAACATTCTCCAAAGAAATACGCCATCAATGGAAGGCTCTTACAGCAGCCAGAGGTACTGATGAACTCCTGGTGGCAAGGAGGGACAAGGGGACTCCTGGAGTCCTGGCATCCTAAGTTTTCCTCGTGGCCACTGCAACCCTGACCTATGGAGGAAGAGGCATTAAGCAAGGGGCAGGGCCTGAATTTTAAAGCCAGTGGAAAATTAGCCAGATCACACAATAAAAATAGAAGGTTCTTAAGTGGGATAAACAATCTATAAAGAAAGCCATGCGGTGTCTTTGCTTCCCAAGTCTGCATATAATTCCTTATTTCATATTATGCATATACATACATTCTATTTTATTGGCAACAAGCATTTTAATTTTCATAATAAAATAGGATGAGTGAGCTTTATTCCACATAGCTAAACGTTACACAGACTATGTTTCACAGGTAACTATGAATATGGCCAACCTGAGCCCAAAATGCATACTTCAGAATCTGGATTAATATAAAAGAGAAATGGAAGGGGGAAGCAAAGTTCATGAATCACTTTACACAAGGGCTGTCCATTGAAGTGCCTCAAATAGCAAGCCCTGTTCCTGTGTATAAAACTGAGTCATGTCTAGAGCACTGATTTAGGAGCTGGGAATCTGTGACCTGGCTTGGCTTTGTGACTGGCCACCCACCTTCATGGCCCTGGGCAAGTCACTCACCTCTGGGCCTCAGATTCCACAACTGTAAAATGAATTTGGACCAAATGATCACCAAGGCTCCTTCCAGCTTTAATATTTTGTGATTCTGTGACCTAGGCTGTCAACAGCTTTCTTTCTCAACAGCTTTCTTTTCTTTTCTTTCTCTTTCTGCCTTTCTCTCTTTCTCAACAGCTTTCTTTTCTTTTCTCTTTCTTCCTTTCTTTCTTTTCTTTCTTTCTTTCTTCCTTCTCCCTTCCTTCCTTTTCTTTCTTTCTTTCTTTCCTCCTCCTCCTCCTCCTCCTCCTCCTCCTCCTCCTCCTCCTCCTCCTCCTCCTCCTCCTTTCTTCCTTTCTCCCTCTCCCTCTCCCTCTCCCTCTCTCTTCCTTTCCAAGGTCTGGCTCTATTGCCCAGGCCAGAGTACAGGGATACAATCTAGGCTCACTGCAACCTTGACCTCCCAGGCTCAAGCAATCCTCCCATCTTAGCCTCTTTAGTAGCTGGGGCCACAGGCACATGCCACCACCCCAGGCTAATTTTTTGTATTTTTTGTAGAGATGGGATTTCACTACATTTTTCCCAGGCTGATCTCAAACTCCTGGTCTCAGGCAATCCACTCACCTTGCTCTCCCAAAGTACTGGGATTACGGGTGTAAGTCACCACACCCAGCCAACAACTTACTTTTTACACATACCTTTAGCCTCCTATCTTGCGCATAAAACAAATTAAACCCACATACATGTGTACCTTCCGCCCCCCCATGCCTGCCTGGCAATGCCCCCGGTATCTCCTGACAGTCCCTCCTGACTGCCTGCAATGGCACCTGAGGCTTCAAGTCAGCCTCTTCTCATTTGCTTAATTGCTAATGGGGCTGGTGGTAATTTTCCATCCAAGAGTTTCAATTGGAAGTATTACCATTTCAGGAGCTCTGAACTCTAGCATCTGTTCTATCTCCGTCTGGAGGCAGACGCCGGCAAGGATAAAGCCACAGGACATGGTTGTGGATGGATCTGGGGAGCTGGGCATTTTCTTAGTGCAGGTGTTGGAGAACTGTCCCCTTGCTCCCCTTCCTCATCTCCCGCAGGTGAACCACCAACACATGGCCCTTGGCAGGGACCCCAGCAGCTTCCCCAAGCCAGAGAAGGAGACCCCTACCTGGGAGGATGGAAGGAAGGAAGCCAGACTTTCTCCCAGGTAGGTGCCTACATCTCTAGAAGCCAGACATCACCACGGAAACTGAGCTACTTGTGGCCACTGTGTGATCTGGACCCTGTGCTGGCTCATCCCAGCCAGGTTTGGTCTGTCAGTACAGCCTACCCATGTGAGGGCACAGTCCCCCAGCTCAGTTTCCCAGCACCCTTTCTTGGTGTTTCAGGATAGCCTGTTGGCAAGTGAGTGATGGCAGAAATCTTGCTTCTGAAACCCAGGGATTCCAACCAGGGACAAGCAAGGAGGAACATGCTTTTCCAGCCAGAACAAACAGAATCTCCCTGCAGTCCCTCTCTCCTTGAGGGCCAGGTGAGATGAACTGCTGGAAGCAGAACAAGGTGCCCTGAGGATTCCTTTGAGAAGGGAATGGTGATTCCCATTTAGGTAGAGGCATCCACGCCAGTTGTGAAGGTGCAGGTGTAGGTGGCTCTGTACTAAGAGTCACCCAGGGCAGCCCGAGGGATTCTGAGTAAAAGAGGATGGCAGCAGGAACCTCAACACTTCCTAGCATCTCATTCGCCCTGATCTTAGAGGTTGCAATGAGGGTAATAAGGATAATCAGCACCTAGTAAACCATGGCTCTGGGCTAAGAGCTGAAGAGATAGACTAGGATGAGTGACTCATCCATGGTCCAATAGGTTGAAAGAGGCAGAGGAGGATTTGAATCTGGGACTTTCTAACCCTAAAAGGTCCAGGCTCTGGAGTACAGCCAGTAGCCCAGGGTCTTTATTGGAAGGTCACTTACATGCATAGGCAGTAGTTTAAAAATGCTATCTGGAACCGTGAACTCTGATAGTTACCAAGCTGGAAGGAGCTGGAAAAGTTCTCTTTCATAGTGGAAGTAGAAGACACCTGGCTGGATTGGGTAGAATATTGCGCAAGGGGGAAGAGCAAGTTGGAATGGAGAGGAACCCAAGTGAGTACCATGGGAACAACCTCCAGCTTTGTGGCATAGGGGCTGGGTCAAGGTTAGATGTAACCAGAGGTCAGGCGCAGGGTCCCTCTGATCAAGGAAGGAAACCAAGATAGAGACAGGCAACACAGAAGAACCTAGGACCTCAGCTGTAGCCAATACAGCATTGCAGGAGTTGCACTTCTATCAGGAGTGGCTTAAATTCATTCATCCCTTGAATACCCACTGATTAACTGCCCACTATGTAGCTTTTCCCTTGTAGGCATTACAATATGGAAGGGGGAGACGGATATAAAACAATCTCTCATTCTCTCTTTCTCTCTCTCTCTCTCTCTCTCTCTCTCTCACACACACACACACACACACACACACACACACACACAGACAGAGTTATACATTTTTAGAGAGGGTGGTTAGGAAAGATCCCCTTTGAGGCTGCATCTTAGTCAAGACCTAAAAGAAGAGAAGAGTTCAGCCATGCAACCATCTGGGGAGAGCTATCTTAGGCAGAAGGTTCATGGCATCAGAGATCCCAAGGTAGAAAAGAGCTTAGTGAGCTGAAGGCAGTGTGGCTGCAGCCCAATGCAGGGGAGGACAGCATGAGGCTGGGAGGTAGGCAGGGCTGCACCGTGCAGGACGGATGGGTCATAATTAGGAGTTTGGATTGAATTCTAAGGGCAATGGGAAATCGGTGGAGGGTGTTAGGCAGAGAAGATGTCGTGACCGGATCTATGTTTTAAAAGGTCATTCTAGAAATTGTTGCATGGTAGCCTTTCAGGTTTTCAGGTGGCTGGTCATTCTTCTGAGTCCTCTCTTGGTTGAATTTAACTTGCCCTTGAATTCCGGGGAAGGAGGGACAGGAGAAGCTGAGGAGAGGAGGGAGGAAGGGAGTGGAATAGACTTCACTCTCTTATCACTTTCTCCAAGCCCCACTTTGGGAAGACCAAATTCAGGGTGAAGTGCAAATGGGGAATCTTTCCTCCCCTTGCTTCTTGGTGATAAAATCATTAACATACTCCAGATACTGCTGCAAAGGTACATCAAATCTGAGCAGCCCTGCATGGGGGTGGGGCTGAGCCTGGTTCACCTGCCCTGGTTGGGTGTGGACAGTTGTGTCTCTCTGCTCCTTCTTTCCTTCCACCTCATCTGCGAAAAAGAAAACTAGACCATTCCATGGGTTCTGTAGAGTGGCTTTCACAACAGGAAGCCTCTGAATGATCAACCAGGGGAAGGAAGCCTTCAAGGGTTGGGAGGAAAATGGCAGAAGACAGAGGTTAAGAAAAAGGAACAAAGAAGGCCCCTAAAAGGAAGACAAATGGGCAGGGCAGGGAAACCAGGAGTAGGAGGACTGAGCAGTTCAGGAGGAAACAATAAAAACATATTATGCATCTTCACTGGATTTATGCTCATCTTTATAAAACGACGT